TGGCACACATCACTTTCGTTAAGTGTAGAGGTCATCTATTTTCTATGTATTGAACAATCTACATTTAAAGGCCTACCATGAATACTTTAAAACTACTCTGGAAGGCATGAGGTTATCAGTCAAGAGGAAATGCACTCTACGTAGCATTGCTCTTAAGGGGGTATATGAAATGCCGAAACATACACGAATGCCTGCCCAGCGCTCTACTCGGCGATGCAGACACTGAGAGAAGAGCTTCTAAAGCTGTGAGCGTTGCCGTCAGATGCATTTACCAGACCAGAACCCACAACAATAAAAATCTATTTCATTAGTCGACCAAAAATAAGGGGCTATTGGGAAGACACGCCACACACACTGAACGCGTGCCCCTGAGTTGCCTTTAGTTAGAGCAACATGTTTGTGTAGAAAGCTGCCGTAATTACAATTTTTGTGGTGAGAAAATGTGAATGTACTTGTTTCCTACTAGGAAAGTATGACAATTTCTCAAATGTGGCATTTCTCAAATATTCCACAGTTCACTGTACTTGTGCTCCTATTAGGCTCCATTATATATGGAAGAGCCAGTGATTATAATAGTTGATAGTTCTCTCTGGGCTCAGCCCAGTTCTAAACGCTTGTATTTAACCAATCCCCACAACTAGGAGGTAGGCTATATTATTATCCGGTTACAGCAGATGGGAGAACTGAGACCCAGAGAAGTGATTTTCCGAAGTCACACAGCTAAAAAGTGGTGGGAGTGGAATCTGAGTGCCTTGTGCCCGGCTCCAGTGTCTACAGCAAGTTAAGTCTGTGCCAGTTTTGTGGAGGGAAAACAGGGAAGCCGGAGTGTAGAGGGACACCCTAGTTCACACAACTGAGAAAAATAAAAGAGCGAATTAACCCCGAGTTTGTGTGTCTCCATTTGGCTTATCCCCGAGGCCAGGAAGTGACACGTTTACAAGCAGCCCTGGGAGTGCAGTTCTGAGCCTCCCCTTGGGGTGGGGGATGGAGAGCCGAAGGCTCCTCGGGGACCCCAGGAGGCGAGCAGGACCGAGTCCAAAGCTGCTGACGCCAAGGAACCAGGTGGAGGAGTGTCACGGGGGCCTGGGAAGTTTGCCCAGGGGCCAATTTGCTTGCTGTGTACTCCTGTCTGAAGTGTGGGCATCCTTTACTTGCATAGAAATAGAATATAGGGACATCTTTTAAAATGTTAAAGAAAAACACAAAGGGGACACAATCATGAAAAAAAATACATGTATGATTTATATATAATTTTTCTAAATGTACTCCTCTGGCATGGCATTTGAGAGCAAAAGTGTACAAAAGTGATTTTATTATGAATTTTTGCAAACATCTTTAAAGCCATTCCTATTACTATATGGATGGCAGCTCTTTAGATCATTCAAGTGTTTGGAATCCCATAAAAAGACTTCTTTCATGACCAGGTCAAGAATCTAAGATGTTAGGTTGACATCCTCCAAATCTCTGAAATAGAAATTCAGCCATTGCTCGATTTCAGAATAGTCCAAAGAAACCCATGGTATTAAAAGCCCAGAGCTTATGAGTATCTTGATTGTTAAAACTTCTTGAGCAGCAAACAACTGATTCCATGCAGTAATAGGAATGGCTTTAAAGATGTTTGTAAGAGAATTTTATATAAACATCTTTAAAGCCATTCCTATTACTATATGGATGGCAGCTCTTTAGATCATTTTGGGAACTAAAAACACTGGTAGTCAGAATTGTGTTCTATGAACTTCGATTAGATGTTCAGATGATAGAGTCTGAAATAAGATGAACTGTCTCACACATACATTTTAAAAGAATAAATAAGAGATTCCTTAAGTCATTAAGATTTCTCTTGGCTTTTTCCAACATTTTACAACTGATTATACTTTTAAGATACACTACGTTAACTAATTGTGAAAGAGAATTAACAACATATGCTTTTCCAGTTTATTAACTACTAAGGAAGAAAAAGAAGAAAACAAAGCCTATACCTGAATATATATATATATTTTTTTGTCTAAATAAAACATAGTTTTAGGAGAAAACACTGATGAGGAAAAACATCTGTAAAAGCTTAGCCCCACAACACAGTCTGCGTCTATCTAGGTAGGTTTTAAAAATATGCTTTGGTGTAAAACGTACACCTTGACAATTTATGACAAGAGCACAAAAATAGGAGGCTAGGCACATCCTCTCCCGGTGGAAAGCTGAGCACAGTGCCTTCCTGAGAAGTCAGCCTGCAGCACCAGCCACACTTCCCTGCACAAAGGCCTCGTTTGTGTGGAGTGAATGCTTGCTGCTTTGCTAAGCAGAAACACTGTCAAGACTGGGGGATCAAAGAGATGTGCAAATGGCCAACAGGTACATGAAAAGGTGCTCAGCCTCATGTCCCGTCAATCATCAGGGGAACACGAACTGACACCCCAGTGTGACATCAGCCCACACCTGTTAACATGGCTGTCATCAAAAGACAAGCAATAACAAGTGGTTGGGGGGATGGTGGGCAAAAGGGAGCCCCTATGCACTGTGGGTGGGGGTGTAAACTGGTGCAACTACTGTGAAAAACAGCATGGAGGCTCTCCAAGATGTTAAAAATGGAACTACCGTGTGACGGAGCAATCCCACTACTGGGTATATATCGGAAGGAAATGGAATCAGGATCCCAAAGAGAAATTCACAGCCCTGTGTTCATCGCAGTATTATTCACAGCAGCCAAGACATGGAAGTAACCTCAGCACCCACTGATGGCTGGACAAAGAAACTGTGGTATATATATTGGAATACTGCTCAGCCATAAAAAGAAGGGAATCTTGCCATTTTTGATAACATGCATAGACCTCCTTGAGGGCGTTTTGCTAAGTGAAATAAATCAGAGAAAGACAAATGCTGTATGATCTCAGTTATATGTGGAATCTAAAAAATAAAAAATCTGGAAATCATGGAAGCAGAGGAGATTGGTGGTTGTGGGGATGAGGGTGGGGGAAGTGGGTGACGGTGGTCAAAGGATAGAAGCTCCAGTTGTAAGACAGGTAAGACCTGAGGATCTAATGTGCAGTCTGATCATTGTAGTTAACAATACTGGATCATATGCTTGGAAGTTGCTGAAAGAGTAAATCTTAAAATTCTCACCACACACACACACAAATGCTAACTGTGAAATGGGTGAAGTGTTAACTAACTTTATTGTGGTAATCATTTTGGAAAATATATGTATATAAAATTATCATATTAAACACTTTAAACTTACACAATTGTTATATGTCAATTATATATCAATAAAGCTGGGAAAAAAAGACAGATGTCAGATATTTTATCTACTCAAATATACTCTAATTACTAAACTCTGATCAGTTGTTCGCTGCTCAAGAAGTTTTAACAATCAAGATACTCATAAGCTTTGGGCTTTTAATACCAGGGTTTCTTTGGACTATTCTGAAATCGAGCAATGGCTGAATTTCTATTTCAGAGATTTGGAGGATGTCAACCTGACATCTTAGATTCTTGACCTGGTCATGAAAGAAGTCTTTTTATGGGATTCCAAACATTTGAAGTATTCATAATGTATATCATTCATCATGCAGCAGATCCAGGCTTTCATACTCGTAAGTCTAAAAATCAGATTTATTTTTTCAGTCTAGCATTTCCAGTTAGAGTTCTGTATAGGAACCTAGCAGCCGGCTGAGCTCACACCTTGGGCTGAGGCCATTCATTGCTGTCAAGGGGTGCATGGGGCCAAAAGCCCGCCTGCCACCCCGATGGAAACCTTGCAAACAGAACAGATCCCCAATGTGCTACGTGGTCTATCTGTTCTCTATCTTGGGTTTCAAAATAGTAGCCTTCACATTAGCAATGCACCACTGAACACACAATATGGATAAAAACAAATTGGGACAGATTTGTTTTGGGCTCAAAGATGATTTCTTCCTTCATCAGGACTGAGACCTGATGAAGTCTTGGTAACTCCAAGCACAAACTAGCCATCTGAAAGCACAGGTGGGATGAGTAGCTGCCCTCTGCTCAGGTTATATGAGTTGACATCTTTCAGTATCCACCTTCAAGGTAAGAATAATTTTCTCATATTAAATGTTTATTGCTGTCCATAAGCAATCTCTGTTTATCAGGGCACATAAGCCCTCTTAATCCATCCTCTCTTTTGCTCTCTTCCTCTGTAGTCTGCCAGGTTTTACAGAAGTCAGTTAGTTATTATAGTTTATAGCTCATTCAGACAGTTAGTTCTAAGACTGTCAGCTCTGATATTGTTGGACTAAGTGAGTGGGTCAAAATGGATGTAAATGAACCGCATTTTCAATCAGGTGTGATTTGAGTGTACAGTGCTATAGTTTAGTTGTAATAGAAGGAAAAGAGATTAAAAGGCCCAGAATAATTCAGACTAAAATCTCTTGGGGTCTTTTTCCATTTTAAAATGAATTGAGCAGCTCAGTGTGGTTGAGGATTGACAGCGTAATGGAAGCAAGTGAACTGCCGGATTTCTCACCAGGTAACTGCATTAGCAGCAAAACTCTGAATTCCGTCTTTTGGTTGAAAAGAGCATGAAGGCGCCTTCTGTTTTCTTACGAGGTGCTATACTGTCATAGCTCTTGGCCAATTATGCTTAATTACTGCCAAGTTGCAGTTATTGGAAAATGCTCTCTATCCTGTAACTTTTAGCAATACAATGACACACCTTGTGGATATTGTCTTCTTATAATTTATTACCATAGATAAACCTAATTAAAACTGCTTCCAAGTATTCACCTCCATGTATGATGTCACTGTAACCCAAGATGTTGCTACATAACAGCAACACTGAATATTTCTCCATGTCCTGAGGACGGAAGAGCGGTTAGAATGGTGGGCAAGTGTTCAGTGATCTTTGAAAGTTTTATACCTCACAGTAACCCTTTTTTGTTAGATAGAACTTTTTGTGGGACAAAATGCATAGCACCAATATCACAGACAGTTCTTATATTGCATAAACTTTATGTACATTTTTGTTCATATGTTTCACTTACCAGAATCAAGAGGCAACTTGAGGCCAATTTTGTATGTTCAGGGATGGTGGAAAACACCGACAAAATCAAGCAACCGAAGACAAGGAGAAAACTGTAAAAGAACAACAGAAAAGAGAAATCTGATAAGAACCTTGCCTTATCATGACAAACTTAATTTCTTGTTTCTAAGAATTAGCATTGGTTAAATCATAAAATCCCGGAAGCGACTCACCATTTCGAATATTGAAATACAATACATGGCACAGGACAGATGGGGGTCCTCAGCAATGCTCTCACTGAAAGCAAGGTTTTCTCTTTCTGTGTGTGTGTGTGTGTGTGTGCGTGTGTGTGTGTGTGTATGTTGCAGGCTGTATTTAAACGTCCATATCTAAGAACCTGTGACTTTCCCATACACTCCCTTCCCAAGCAGGGATCCTGAGGCAGGGCCAGCAAATGTGTCTCTGCTCTTCTATCCCAAGAACACGCGGGGCAGCGGGCTTCCTCCCTTAGAAGCAGAGTCTGCCCTGAGCTTGGCAGTGTCGGCCATCTCCCAGGTATTGTTCTAAGTGGCTTCGTTGCTCCTAAGCTGGTACTTAGCTGGCATGATGCCACTGGCTCATTTTCACAGTCTACTATTGCTCATGGATTCTCGTTTGTCATTCCTTTATAGTAAGAATAGAAAAGGAAGGGACCGACTTCTTCTGCTCCCCATATTCTCTCCATTTCCTCACAAACTGCTAGAGAAATGACCCTTCAGCCATCTGTTCATCCTGCCATGGGAGTGAACAGAGGTCAGAGCAGGGCTTTTCCATCAATCATTCCACATTTTTATTCCTACTCATGTGGAACTTCTGGGATCCAGAGGAGGAGGTGAGTTTCCAAGGAAAATATCTAATGAAAAGAGAAGGCTCTGTGTTGAAGTTACTTATCCTGAAAATGCAAGATTAAACATAGAATCCCAGCAATACTTGAGCTACATGCTCTAGGCCATAGGTTTACTTTCACTCATCCTAGGAAGCTCATACCATCATCTCCCTTAAAATATCGGTCCCCGAGTTCTTTGGTGTGACGGTGGAGCTGGTCCTGCCCCTTTGACCTGCCTCGGTAAGACTTACAAGTCTTCCTACCACCCTTGACTGGAGCTCCCAAGGGCCTATAGCCAGGGAGTGGTGACTTACGGCCTAGGGAACAAACCTGACTGCTAATGTCTATTTATTTATTTTTATTTTTTTTAATTTTGGTATCATTAATCTATAATTACATGAAAGACATTATGTTTACTAGGCTCCCCCCTTCACCAAGTCCCACCCACATACCCCTTCACAGTCACTGTCCATCAGCATAGTATGATGCTTGCTAAATAAAGTTTTATTGGCACATCGCTCCACCATTCGCTTGTGCAGTGTCTATGCCTGCTTTCACACTACAATGGCTTGACTGACTTGGGAGAGGGAGTATGGCACATAGCACTGTCCTTTAGAGGGGAAGTTTGCTGACCCTAACTGAAGCCATGGGCCCTTTGTTTCTTTATTATCTATCCAGCCCAGAGCTGGAGTGGGCATTCATCATTGCTTATGTTCTGTATGCTGATAATGATTCCTAACATTCTCAGAGGACTTCCTACAAACTCGACACGGTGCTAAGCTGCTTCGACATGCATTATCCACATTATATTCACCAATTTATAGAATAGAAATACCACTGTTCCCACTTTACAGAGAGGGGAACCTAGAATTATGGACATTTTGTAACTCATCCAAGGCTGTGTTGCAGAAAGAAGGTTCAAGCGTCATCTGCCCTAGGCCTGCCACGAGCGTTTCTGGCTGAGGGGTGAGCATGCACCATGAGGAGCCCTGGGGCCCTCCCTGGCCCAGCAGGATCTGGGGTGGGGGGCTTCCCTACAGGCTTCAAACTAGGCGTGGAGTAGTTATCACCCAAAGAGAAGAAGTCTCCTAGGGGCAGGGTCACAGTGAAGAGACCCTGGTAGGCTGTGTTAGGGGGCAGGGCCGTGGCGGAGGGACAAGGGCTGCTGGCGAGGGGACGGCTGGTGGGCTCAGCCCGGACGGAGGCCAGGCCAGTGAGCAGCCTGGACTTTGCAGGCCGCCTCCCACACGTGCACTTGCAGGGGCCCCCGGCAAGGTTTTTGGTGGCCTAACTCTCTACATGGGTCAGCTTTAAGACGGCTTTGGGGAAGGGGAGACCTTAAATGTCTTAAACGGAATGGGATCACTGGAATCAGAGAAAGAATGCTAATAGGAGGTGGGTATGAAATTCTTAAGAACACAATTCTTCAGAAATAACTTCCAAAGGAAATTCAGCCCTGCCTCTGACTTCTCATAAAACTTTAAGGACTGTTTTGATGAGGGGTGGGTGGTATGTCAGTACACTTGATGGAAGGCCCACAGGTGCGTCATGAATCATGATGACCGCAGCACACGGGACGGCTTTAGTGACCACAGCCGACCCACTGGCCGAAACAGCTCATGCCTGGAGGACACGCCGCCTGATGAAACCAGAACCTCATCATCACAGGAATGGCTGGAGCCCGTTTTTCTCTTCCAGTGTCCTAAATTGACCTTTCTAAACCTGGCACTTTGCAAAATGTCCTCTCTGCCTAATTTTTCCATCAAAGAAGGCCATTTTGCACATGAAATCTTTCCATAGCACATCCCAGCTTCCACTGCAAAGTGATAAAAATTACATGACATTTTCGGTATGATTTGAAATATTTGATTACAAACACTGCATGATTCTGCTTTTCAAATGCAGCGAGCCCTAAATATTAATAAAGACCCTAATCAATAAATACTATCACTGTAATCTCTGTGAAGTTGCAAAAATAGGATCACGCTAGCTAATTGTTAAAAAATGAAATGTTGCAGTTTACATGTGTGTGTGGTGTTCAGCGGAAACTGGAGGGTATGGGAAATAGTGGTTTCTGCCTGCATCGTGGGCTTCTGCAGGGGACGGTGACTAAGGCCAGTGCGCTAGAACAAGGTGCAAGGACCCACCGGCAGTTTGAGACCCCCCATCAGGCAGTGCCCGGACTCTGTCTAGTCATGGGCAAGGGGCATCTCTGCCTGACTTTCACCCCAGGCTCAGGGAATCCTTGTGGCTAGAAGGATTCCTATCTGAGCTCCCTCTAAGGCAGAGATTAGTCTTAAAACATCGCTGAGAGGCAGCTGTGCAGTTTCTCTCTGAGCCCTTCCAGTGTCCAGACCTCCCGGTGCATGAGGGACAAGGCCCTGCTATTGGCCACTCTTCGCTGGCGGAACATTTCCACCGAGTCAAGTGATATTTTTTAAAAAGTCACTTTTTTATGAAAGTGATAAAGATGTGGTCTTCCTGATTCAGGCCCCTCACCCACTGGTCCTCATGCTCTGGACCACCCCCCACGGTAGTTCTCCAGACGTCCGAGGTTGGTTTTATCATGACTTCCCCAATGGTCCTCAGATTTCAAACACCCAGCCCAATTCTTTGTCTACTTTGCATATGAAATGATGTCCAGATGTGTCACTGTCCTTTAAGTACTGTCACTGTTCTTCAAGAGTTTCCCGTTTGTGCCTGCCTCCCTCAAAGTCTGCCTCAGGCCCATCATTACATTTCAGTCAGAGCAAAAGGTTCAGCGTTTCGTCATACACATGAAGTGGACGACAAAACTGTCCATTCTTGCCAGGGAATCTGAAGTCACACTTCCCATTGACCCTCCATTGACGGAAGATAATAAGTGCTCTCAAAAAGGACTGTCTTGAAGATGTGCATTTACCGATTCCCCTGTGTCTCTCCAACCACGCTGGAGGGGTTGTAACAAACTTGGCCCCTGACAGCCCATGTGCTTTGATCTCAGTATCTTGATCGCGCATGGAGCTACTTTCACTGACTGTGTTTGATATTTTGCTGTTTTCTTGAGAAGTAAAAAGCTTTCAGCCCATTTACTGTATTTTAAGAGTTTTTCTGTACTTGACATTGTATTTGCTCAGTGAAGTATTGTGTGAGGAATTTCAAGATTTTATTGCAAAACTTTTCTTGGGCAAAGTGTTGGCTATTTTTAGTAAGTTCATGTTGCTGGGCCTAGATTTATACTGTAAAGCATGAAAGTATTTGTGGATGAAATTGAAGAGCTTTTACTAATAAACTTTAATAAATCTTGAAAAATGCAATAGGTGCCAAATGACCAGAGAGGGAAAAGTATTCTGAGTGTCAAAGAGTAAAGTAGGGAACCCTGTGCTTTGTATATTGATCAGCTCAATTACAACTCCCAGAGATATTCCAGATAGAATATTAAACAATGATTCATAATAAATTCAAAAGAATAACTGTGATTACTAGAAAACAACACAAGTTCACCAAAAGCAAGAAACACTAAATGATGCTTTTTCCCTATTTTGATAGGTTTACCAGACTGCTATACCAGTTGTTTTTTTTTTTTTTTTTGGTCCTTTTGGTAAGAAAACTGAAGACAAGTGTCTTGAAGACAAATGAAATCCCATGGCCCATCAAGCCAAAGCACCATCTGTTGCTTTTGGAAAAAATAATGGGGTTCTTTACTTTATGAAAACAGTGATCTTTCAATGTATTTTTCTCCTTGCCTTGGCTGCTGGGAAGCTCAGAGGTGATTTTGTGGCACATGTTAGTAATGATACAGACCCTTCGGGCATACATGTTTATGGATTAACTTCATTCCTGGCTTCTTTATATTATCTTATCATTACTCTACCTTCACTGTATTATTTCAGTCACAAATACAAGCACTGGGAACTCAGGCATGGTCTGAGCCTAACAGGGCTCTCAGTTTAGTAGGAAGGCAGACCTTTGCTAATTTTTATCCGCTTATATCATATGCACTTTGTTAGCTGTCTCAAGTCCTTTCTGGATGATACAGAGTATTTGGGGTATACTTGGCTAAATATAAAAGCAATAAAGATGTGTGGTCTTCCTGTATCACTACCCTTTCCTTGAAACGGGAGTATTAATGTAACCTAAAGGTGCAGTCTTTTTAAAGAAGCAAATGATGCCATTGGCTCAAATTTAAACTAAACCTAATAGATTTTTCTCTCTTCTCCTGAATTTCTGAAAAGCTTTTACATTTGTTATTTTTACATTGTATCATGC